AAGAATAACATATAAAACATGTTCAAGCACTCAACAATTCAAGCAAATGAAATTTTCAACCTCTTTATTTCTTTCCCAATCACATTACTTCAAATAGCTAATGCGATGTTAAACATGCTGTATTGCTAATTCTGCAATCTGCCTTTGTTACTTTGTACCAAGTCCCTTGAGGCAATATCAAACATGCTAGGTTTGCTTCAAGGGGCTTGGTACAAGGGCAGCTTGCAAATTATGAATACAACATGCTTAACATTGCATTATCTTTGCATCCTCGCTTTGCCTATGTTTTCTGTGTTATGTTTATGCATTTTAATTTGAGCTAATAGGTTTTTTAAAACTGTGTTTAAAATTAAAGTTTACATTTTTTTAATTAATACTATTTTCTGTTTGCACCTTGCTGCAAAAAGCCCTTTGCCTTTTTTTTTCACCTTGCACCTTAAAACACTGTGCACAATTATCCAGACAAAATCTCAGCCTCTCCCCATCACCCAACATGTATCCTATCCCTTTAGAGAAAGAGCTGTAAAATTTTATCTCTTTTCATACAGAGTAGCCATAGGAAGCAAGGGGATCTTCTGAAGTCCAATCTGTTCTCGAGACCCCAAACTTAGTGGCAAGCAGCCTCCTCCACCACTTCTATCTTTCCACCCCAAGCATCCATACCCACTTCCCAAGCGAGGCAATATTAACATCTTTATTCTTCTTGATGCTCAAGCCCCCTTCCTTAAGAGGAAGGCAGATCCGATTCCAATTCACTACACGAATTTTGTTCTCCTCCTGCCATCCATGCCACAGGAAATCGCTTTGCAACTTCTTAATTCTATTAGCAACTTTCATTGGAATAGGAAACAAAGACATGGTAAGATGGAAAGTGAGAACGACAGCTTTTAATCAAGGCCATCCTTCCACCTTTAGATAGATATTTCATGTTCCAGGAGGAGATCTTTTAATAAAAGAAATTTTATTAAAAGAAAAAAAGGTTATAGAAGAGTAGGAGGTGACAAAGGCACCTCAACACTATAAAGCAACAAGAGGGATTTTTTCTGGTCTTTCCTAGTCCAAATTGGATTCTATAAAGGGGGATTTAAGCCCTTATGTTGAGCCATTGCAATTGAAAATTAAAAGAGTTAATTTGATGAATGAAAGTTTAGTTTTGTAAATCCTGCTTATGTTCAGTTATTTCTTTATTCTTTATTTCTTTCTTATACAACAACTCTTTCTTGTGAAGTCTAAAATACACAAAGTCCATTAAAAAAATATCTAAAAAACTCAGACAAGCTTCAACTGAATTGCATAAGACCAGCTTTATTCTCTCCAAAAAAGCTATATGGACTGAATTGGTGTGGTTTCACTCAAAACTATTTTATAAAGCCAAATTTCTCGGAAAATAGTTATACTTGAACATGCATGGCTTAATCTTTAAGACATCACCAACTAATTTTCTTTAGTTTATCAAAAAAAAAAAAAGATAATGTAAACAGGTCCAACTTCAATGGCTCAAACAAGATCATTACTAAAAAGAAAACCCCATGAATTCTGCTATTAAAGGAATGACAATTCATGATTGTAAGGGGTGATGACTCACCACCTTCTTCTTGTATCTTCTTTTATTTTAATAAAATCTTTGTTTTTACCTATCAAAAAAAAAATACAGCTTGCTTATGTCAGCAAGTCTATTGATCATGATCTGTAGGATTGCTTCAGGTTACTTTAATATCAGCTAGGTTGATCTCAGGTGCAGAGTAGATATATGGTAAATAGAAAAAGAGAAAGTTGTTACATGGGTCAAAGTAGTAAGAAATGATTTAAACACTTATAATTAAGTGAGGGATGTTGCATTAAACCAAATGGAATAGTGAAACAGGATTCATGTGGCTGATTCCATATAGTTGGGATAAGGTTTTGGTGATGATGATGACAAAGAGAATGGGAAGTGAAGAATGAGAGACAAGAAGGAAACAGAATAGTAAGAGCCAAGAGATCAGGGTAGTTGGTCCCCTTATTAAATAAAAATTTACAGTAGCAGCCCTTTGACCAGACATAAGTATGTTTAAATCATCACTTTGATCTCTTTTACTAGTTTTCCTGAAACTAAATGGACCTTTCAAGCTCAGTCTCCCTCTTTTGTCCTCTTTCTTGTTTATTACTGAGGAACCAATGGTATCGGAATTAATTTGATTGACCATCCTTCTCTTGGTATACACATACTATTATTTCAAGAGGTAATTAATCATGTTTGTTATTTTTTGGAAGAACATAATATATATTTAGTTCTGTATTTATTTATGCAGAGAGTAACTTGATATCCAAGGGCTACATGGTATGTCTTAAGATGTAGGATATTGTCTAGTTACATATAGAATCGTTCATGTCTGCAACATGTTTAATACATCTATGTGTAGAGTTATTCTTTATGGTCCTTGTCCTTCTAGTTGGAATGCAGTTTATAAAATTTTGAAGGGCCTAACCATTTAATTGCTTTTCAATAAATGTAGGAGAAAAAACAGAGAGAAGCCCAGGCTGCAGAGGGAGGATGGACAGTTGTGGTTCACCATAAAGGCAGGAAGAAGACAACTGATTCCGAAAGTGGGATAAGAGTGGGTTCTGTTGCCCAGGCTGCTGTAGTTGAGAAAATGGCCAAAAAGAAAAGCAAAGAAGTAGGTCTTGATTTCTACAGATTTCAGAGAAGGGAAGCCCAGAGGAATGGTACGGTACAATTACTGAAAATTAGCTTACATTTTTCTTTCTGAAATACTTGATCATGAATATTAATATTTCCTTCAGCTTGTCTTTTTACCTGTCAAATCCAAGACAGTGTAAATATATATGGTTTCCATTTGTAGTGTCCAAACCACCCAATGCTGCAGCTATACTTATTTTGCATCTACTTTTGTTGTACCGGCTATACTTATTTCATGCATTGACTACATTGTTTGTATTGATCATCTTGTTCACATGGGTGTCTAGAAGATTGGTTTCCTAGACATTCATGTGTTGCAGTGGGGTGGTGGAACCATAATTTATAGTGGAAGGCAATCCTTTGAGTTTGTTGTGCATTCTCCCAATTGCTTACACCTAGCTGTTTAATATAAACCTTTACACTTTGTTGGCTATAGCTGGATCGTATGGTTGGGATAAGGTTTTGTTGAGTTGAGTTGAATTCATGAGGAAATAGGAAACTGGTTACTATGCTGACACACATGAACTTTGTATTTCAAGAAAAAAAAATATGACATTTAATATGCGGTTCTGGTACATTTTAGACATGCAAGATGCAACCAAAACTTCAGGGTAAGCCCATGTTTATTTGTTTTAACCCTTTCCAGTTTTTTTATACTGTCTTAGTGAGTTGAGCTTATAATCTATATGTAGTCAGTTATATTATTCTAGCATGCTAATCAAGTTTGTTGGGGTCCCATGTTTATGCTGCCTTGGGCACATAAGATGGAGGATAAAATATGCAATTGATGTGAATCAGTCTTCTAATATCAGGTTTAAAATCAGTAATTAACAGTGCAAATCAGATCTGAATAATAGTGCAAGAGTTGTGTATGTCGAAGAGAAGAGGTAAGAGAAGAAGAAGTCGAATAATTCACCCTTCTCCTCTAACCCTATTTTATTAATCTCTAGGAATTAATGATGACAAATATGCCCTTAAGTGATTGGCCATCTTGGCAATTACATAAAGAAAATAAAACAAGAACAAATAACAGGCCCATTAAGTGAGACCCATCAACATAAAATAAAAGATAAAAATAAAGGATATCACACAAGCAGCTGTTAGGGCCCATTCGGCCCAGTCTCTTTACACTCCCCCTCAAGCTGAGCATAGATGTCAATCATGCCCAGCTTGCTTATATAGTGTGTCAATTTCCCTTTGGGAACTCCCTTGGTCAAGATATCAGCCAGTTGCTCTTCTAATGTGATAAATGGCAAACAAACTTCTCCTGAAGAGACTCTTTCCCTTATGAAATGCCTATCAACCTCAACGTGCTTAGTTCTGCCATAGTAGTTCTGACACACCGTGAGCCATTGCCCTGTATTCTGCTTCAGCTGAGGATCTAGCAACTACTGATTGTTCCTTACTTCTCCAAGGCACAATATTCCCAGCAACCAGAGCACAATAACCAGAGGTGGACCTTCTGTCATCCATACATCCTGCCCAATCTGCATCAGTAAAGGCCTCCAACTTCATGTGGCCATGCTTAGCAAATAGAATACCTTTCCCTGGAGTACTTTTCAAGTAGCACAGAACCCTTTCCGCATCAGCTAGATGAGTATCTCTAGGCAAATGCATAAACTGACTAATAACACTTACTGCATAGGAAATATCTAGCGGAGTCGTGCAAAGATACAAAAATTTCCCAAGCAGTCTCTGAAACACTCCCTTATCAGACAAAGGTGCACCATCTGTGGCAGAAAGTTTATGATTAGGATCAATGGGAGTGGAGATGGGTTTAGCTCCAAGTTTACCAGTTGCAACAAGAAGATCAAGGGCATATTTGCGCTAAGATATGAAAATACCGTCCTTAGACCGAGCAACTTCAATGCCCAAGAAATACTGAAGGTCTTCCAAGTCTTTGATTTCAAATTCAGAATTGAGAAATCCTTTTTAGTTTCCTGGCCTCTTCAATGTCATTACCTATGACCACAATATCATCAACATAAACAATCAAGAAGGTCACCAGAGTGTTATTTCTCTT